AGAGAGATGCTCAGAGGCGTCCTCTCTCTGCCCAGAAGCCACAGGGCTCAAAGAACAGCCTTTCCACAAATATCCATCAACCTTTAAAACAAAAGGCCCCGTGGGAAACAAAACAAAGATTCTGCAACCGTAGTAGAGGGAATTTAAATAATTTGTTGATCAAATATTTCAGATCTCTGTGGGTAAATAATCAGCTTACGGGAAACTAAAACAATTTTCCTCCTCCATGTCTTGTATGACAGCTCTCTGAAGGAAAAGATGATTTTGAAAAGAAATCACTTTTTTATGTCTGAGTATTATAAAGAGGCCACTGATTTACCACAATTGTTTTAAAATTGTAGAAACACACTAAAACTCTAAAAAAAAAAACTTTTAAGCTTTTAAAAATAAAAATCTGTTGTAGGGCAATTATACCTCAGTAAAAATAAACCATTTGTGCATAAAAAAATAAAAACATACTGCTTTTAAAAGTAAGAAACACAAGCATTTTTTTAATTAGTACATCCTGTTAATAAAAACAAACATGGAACACCCGGGTCTGAGTTGCTCTCTGACTCACCCAGGAGTCCGGCCCTGTAAGACCCCGCCGCACGGGGCGCCTGGGTGGCTCAGTTGCTTAAGCGTCTGCCTTCAGCTCAGGTCATGATTTCGGGGTCCTAGAATCAAGTCCCCGCATTGGGCTCCTTGCTCGGTGGGGAGTGTACTTCTCCCTCTGTGCTCTCCATCTCTCTCTCTCTCTCTGTCTCTAATAAATAAAATCTTAAAAAATAAGTAAATAAATAAAAGACCCCGCCACGCAAGCAGGTCCTCTGTCCCCTGATCTGGGCACTGCTCTGCTCGGGTGCAGTCCAGCCTTCCAGAGGCCATCCACGAGGGCAGCGCCGCGCTCAGCCGTGTCCTGCTCACTGGGCCCTCTTCAAAGAGCTCTGTGTCTAGCTTCAAAGAAGCGCCAGAGAGGAATTTCTACACTGACCTATGTAAGTGTCCCTGTCCGTACACCCAATCCCTCCCATCCGAGTTATCCAACGGAGGCCCCTGGGAGGACGAGCCTACGGTCCAGGGACCGCCGCGGCTCATCACGGAGGGCCCCAGCCACCTGGCACTTCCACCACCCGCGGGAAAGCAGCTTCAGAGGTAAAGCCTCCAGCTGCTACACCCAGAATCAAAATTAAGCAAAATCCGAATTTACGGTGCACTTTCAAGGAAGAAAAGCATCTACCTGCAGCAATTCGTCCGTTTTCCTTTTCCCCGAGGAGAACACCATCATGGGATGAAACCCCTCCAAAGACCCTTGCAAACATTTTTATCACAATGATTAAGCGTTAGCACCACAGGTAAAGATTTTCTTTCTTCCACTGCTTTCTCTTGAATTTATTTAGAAAATCTCATTCAGGTGTAGAATCTGAAAAATCTGGGTGCTAAATGCCAGCTGAGGTTGGCAGCCTTCTGCTGCCTTCCGCGCTCCAGGCAGTACACAGAACAAGTAAAGAACTGTCAGAGCTAAGAGTGTGAGCTAATCTGGGCTAGCTGTTATTAGAAATAACCAACAGGTGAGTGAGTCTCAGAGCGCAGAGGGACTGAGCTCTGCTCCGCAGGTTCGGGGCTGGCTCTGGGCCACAGGCAGCCCCTCCAAATGCAAGGGCGAGTGGTTTCAGGGGATGGCTTCTCACCCACCACCCAGAATCCTCGTTAACTGAAAAGACCTTTACAGTGCCTCCGTCTGTCTGGCCCAGTTACACTCAGACCACCCCCCCCCACAAAATCATCCACCACAAATGCAAATGGGCCTAAGGAATCTTAAGTTCTTCTCAAAACCATATGGTTTGCATGTAAAATAATCCAGAACTTATGTACTTCTAACTTTTATCTTAAATACCTGAGGCCCAAAATAAATAATTGGTAAAAGTACTTTGTTACTCAGAATGTGAACCAATTTTTGTTTTGGAGACTTTCCCTTTTCTATGTTCCACTCACTGCCCACACTACATGCATAAAATTTTCAATTACTTATGTGTTTACAAATTAGTAACTTTCTAATTAAACCATACATTTTTTTCACTGATATACTGGGATTAAATTCTTATCTTTTACTTCTCCCTAGAATTTCGCGTTAGTGGTTTTCAGCTGTTGTCTTATTTCTTTAAAAATCATTTGTATAGGGGCACCTGGGTGGCTCAGTTGGTTAAGCGACTGCCTTCGGCTCAGGTCATGTTCCCAGGGTCCTAGGATCGAGCCCCACGTCGGGCTCCCCGCTCAGCAGGGAACCTGCTTCTCCCTCTCTCCCTGCTTGTGCTCTGTCTCTGGTAAATAAATAAAATCTTTAAAAAGAAAAAATCATTTGTATACATACTATTTAAAACCATGCCTAGGACAGAATAGAGAAAGGACCGTCCGTTTTATTACTCTTTCGTCAGTTTCTGTATGTAATGGTTTTATTAACAATATTAACAAACTTTGTGCCGAGACACTGTAAATGCATTCTGTAATGGTTTGATTTTACATCACCAGTACAATTCTTTAAAGCTAGATAACCTAACCAATTTGGATGGACTAGGTTATACATGAGTCAATATCAGAAAACTTTCCTTTCACTCTACCACTTGTTAATACACATGCAGGAAACCATAGCAGGTCTAAATCATAGCTGGCAGCAGGGAGCATGGCAGGATTTTTGTCCAGGGAAGGGCTGATGGGGTCTCCCCACTAGGCCTGCAATCCCAAAAATGCTGAAGCCCCTCCATCATCAGACAACCCAAAACCCGGAGGAACATGGCACACCAGTCTGGGGGCACAAGTCCAGAAGAAGCAGAGCCACCCTCCCCCCACCCGCCAGCTTCATTGTTAAAACTGTGGGAGATGCCAACGGTAGCCCTAAGGCAGGCCTAGGTCACCTTCAGCTTGTCCTGGTTTTCGAGATGAGGACAGTTAATACAACTAGGTGACCCGGCCCAGGTCATCCCGCGGCTTCAGACCATGGCAGCCTGTGCCATGCAGAGGCCTGTGCTCCCAAGAATACGCCCTGCTCTGGACACAGAAGGAATCCCGAAACAAGCTGCTCACAAGGTGCACTCTTCAGACCTCCAACTTGTGCAGCTGACCCCACCGGGACCGTCACAAGTAATCAACGGTAGGATCCGAATGGATATTCCCCCAACTCACAAAGGTCAGCTCTTCCAAACACAGGCAAGAAAGTGACAAACTAAGGAGGACCATCCTCCGCACAAGAGTTGGAAGCAGCATGTCCTTTCTCTTCTTACTCCTCAGAGCAGCAGTTCCCAATGGAGACTCTGGGGGGTGGCGGTGGGCAGGAGGGCTTTGAAATCCAGTGGAATACACTGGGTCATCATACTCACGAGACACCACTGGGATTTAGTGCATAGGGCCAAGAAGACGGAGACATCTTCAGTATCTGAGACGGTCTCATCTAACAAAAAGTCTTGCTGCACAAACTTCAAATGTCCCAGGCACTCGCTCGTATGAGGAAAAACATGATTCTAACAACTTTCTGAGCCTAAAATCTTACTCTGCTCTACGTTTATACACAAAATATTTTTGGATAATTTAACAAATCTCCCAGGAATTCAACTACTGTTCAAGTCTAGAAAAAATTACATTTTGCTTTACTTGAAACTACACCAAGAATTGCTCATCATTTGGTAAGATGCCATGGCGACTGGCATCTGAGTTCCCGGTGTGTGTGGACTAGTGCGACAGCCCTCCCAGTCACCAGGATTCGACAGACGAGGTTTGGGCATCTGGCCTGCTCACTGCCTCCTTGTGTATTTCACCCAACCACTTACAAGCCCAACCACATGTCATTTTATTATACCTTCTACCCTTTTATTTCTCCTCACGTTACAACTAACATTATACTCATTTTTCCAAGATAAACTGTATTTTCTCAACGTTACATTATAGGGTAAGTAGGCATCACAGAAAAAGGATTCTGAACCAAAGGCGCTGGTTCTGATGGGGTGAGTGTCCCTGCCTGCAGAGCACGTGCTCAGCCACGGTCTGCTGGGAGAAAAGACAGGCCGGATCTATCAGAACACATACAAACACAGGGCCAGAGGCCTGTCTCAGAGCAACAGCACGGACTATGCCCCCTCACCCCCCACTCAGGGACAGAGGTCAGGTGTGAGGCCACACAGCAGGGGTCATCCACAGCATCCCACACAGACCAGGACAGGGGGCCATCTTCAAAGGGAAGCATCCCCAAAGCACACCAGGAGCCCCTCCGCAATCCCACACTCCCTGGCAAGTCCACCAAGCCGTTCCGTGCTCCTGTCTCGGGGCACGTGGACAGGGCAGAGCCCAGCAGACACTGGCAGCAAGGCCCCCAGCAAACATACTCCACGCTCTCATCAACTATGAAGACAAATCCTGCCTCCACCACAGACTGGACATCTTTGGAGCCAGCTACGGGAAGAGATAAAGATGGCAAGACTGACGGACACGGGTGCCCCGAGCCTGAGCTTTAGCTCATCTCAGGGGCTCTAGCATCTCACAGGGCACCAAGGACGAACACACACGAACAGGCCAAACACTATGAAACACCTGTCCCATCTAAGTAAGTCATTTATCAAGTTTCAACTCAAACAGTATATAAACTACAACACACTTCACTAACATTAGACTCTAAATATTAAAAAAAAAAAAGGCACAATAAAAACTACTGATATGAAGGGAAAATCTGGGACACTCAAGTAAAATGGAGAAACCCTACCTATGTGCACACGGGCCAGACAGAACCGAGAAAAAGGAAAGAAATGCACATCTTCGAAGACCTGATGGCTCTGTTCCAGACAAAAGATGTGTCACAGTGTGGCTTCTGTCCGACAGAAACCGTAGGGATGACTTCAAGGCGCCCGGGCTGGGCATCGTCACGTGTGAGGTCTGTGGCTAACTAAACTAGAGCCACCGAGCTGTGTGCAGGGCGACTCGAGCAGCCAGGCCGGGAGCCTGGGGAACAGGCGGCCCACCCTCCACTGGGTTCTTACCATCGCACTTTGTTGCACGTCTGGGTCGCGCCGAGAGGGGAGCCTGCCACCATGGGGACTTGGATGGGGCTGTGCTGCTTGTTGGTGACCAGGTCCAGTTTCTCTTCTAACGATTTGCAAGTAGCCTCCAGAGCCTGCAGCTTGGCTTCAATGCTATCCAACCGTAAGCAGATTGTCTGGTTAATGGAGTACAGGAATGACTGCAAGTGGAAAAAAGAAACAGCTCAGAAGGGTTGCTGTGACTGCAGGGGACAGCTGTAAGGACCCCGCTCACGATTCCCTAATTCCGACTGTGTCTACTCCAACAGAACAGTCCCTGCACCTGGGCTCCTTTGTTTCTGCTAGAAGCACGTGCGGAGACCAGACTGCACCACGCTGTCCCCGCGTGTGAGCCCAGTCCGTACCAGAACACACTGCAGTAGTGTGCAGGGTGCTGCTCCAGGCACCAGTCAGGCACACACACAAGCAGGCCAGTCCGTCCAGCTGGGGAGGCAGCACACCCGGGAAGCACAGCCAAGGGCTTGTGCACGGCAACACTGCCACCCAGTGGCCAGCAGGGCGCCTCCGGCGGCAGCCGTGCGCGTTCAGGTCTCCAGCACCCGCCACCTTCCCCTGCAACGAGCCCACCCTGGGCCAGGAGCGCCCCTTGCTTCCCGCAACCATCCCCCGGGGCCCCAGCCACCACCGCATACCCGCACCTGTGCCCATGAGCACCCGCGCTGGTTCCCACAGCCGGCCCGCGGCCCAGGCAATACTTAGCAACGGGGAATTTGCTTGTCCTCTCCTCTCCCGCCCTCGAGTTGGGGGGTGGAGCAGAGCGGGCACAGGGCGCAGGGACCAGGGCACAGGGAGCGCGGCTGCGCGGTGCACGTGTAGCCCACTGAGCTTCTCAAGAACCGGCAGGCTTGTCTAACGGCCGGCCCGCTGCGTGGGGCAGCCACGCAGTGATCACAGCGGCCCCGCCCCGACAAGACTCCTCACCACGCAGCTGCCAGGCGCAGGGAAGGCCGCCTCCGCCTCCTCCTCGAGGGCCGGACTGGAAGGCAGCGCGCGAGGGAGCGGCAGCGGCGCACAGTGGAAAGGGCACAGTGGAAAGGGCGGAGAGCCCGGCTCTGGGCTCCCAGGTCCGCGCACACGCAGCGGGCCTGCAGAAGCCGCGCACACGCAGCGGGCCTGCAGAAGCCGCGCACCCTGGGTCACCGCAGAGATCCGACCGCAGGGAGCAGCGAGTGAGGCCGCATGGGGAGCCCCTCCCAGGCAGGGGGGCCGCTCTCCGTTGGGTCCGGGGGGCGGTGCAGGGGTGTGGGCAGCCCCGGCAGGAATGGCAGGAAGCGCAGGGAGGCGCTCACCTTGATGGAGGGGTCCTGGCAGTTGATCTCCAGGCGCTGGCGCTTCAGGGCCGGCTCGTCGTCGTCCGCCACCACATGGTTCTCCAGCACGACTGCAAACCGACGCAGACACAGCGGGCATGAGCGCAGTGGCCGCTACCGCCCGGCCTTGGCAGGAACAGCGTCCGTCTTAGCTCTCGCAGACCCAATACCCGGCACACGGGAGCCGCACGCCACCCCGCCCCCCCCCCCGAGGGCTCGGTGCAGCTCCCCCACCTGACTTCCAGATTCACAAAATCCAAGACCAGTAAAGACTTCTCTCCAGGTTAAAGGCCTGTCGGTTGGCTACCTCATTTGGAAATCAAAGCCCTGTGTGCATACGCCGCCTTCCTATGCGCAGACAAGACACGGGCACACGGAGGGCCTCCCCGCCCACGGTGGTTCTGCACGCAGCACCTGCCCAGTGCCTGCTGCCCAGCACCTGTGCAGGGGACCAGCGGCTCCGCCCACAGTCAGCACCCACCCCCTTCCCTCCATCCCAAGTGCACTACAAACACAACACTAAAGAGAAACAAACACCAGAACCATCCACAATCACAATCCTGAGGCACACTTCTCTCCATCCCTGAGCCTTGACGCCAGGCCTAGTCAACCTCGAAACATCTACAAACTTTGAATGGTACAGAGTTTCAGATTCAGCATTTGTCCTCACGTCATACCATGAAGACCTTTCCATTTCACTGCAGGATTTTCCCTTGTCCTCTCCGTGCCCGGAGTCACCAGCATTCCCTGCCCAGTGTATTTCTCCTCCTCCTTCCTGCACGGCCACATGTGGACGCAGACATATTACAGAGATGCCCTCCTGCTCCGTGGCTCCACCTTACTTTCTAATGGTAAAGCAGTTTGGGAATCTATTCTACAGAATGGGTACTAGTATGTGAGAACACACGGGTGTACGTGTAGAACACAAACAGTACAATGGTGTGTGTATGTGTGCACACAGAAGCACGTCTGCCGCAGCCCCGGTGAGAATAAACGTGAGTGCACACACACTTTGGGGTATCACCCATCCACCTTTCAAGTGCACCCCACACTCCAGTCAAGCAGGACAGACTCACTGTACAGGCATCCTCGTCTGCCTTGTTCAGACAGTGTTGTCTGACCACGTCCCCGATCCTCTCCCCAACCCTCCCAGAACCACCCACTGCCCAACCACCTCCACTCAGGGAAGCTGAGCCGCCTTCCCTGCAGTCCCACGCAGCGCTGGAACTCAAACCAGCTTCCAGTGTGATACCAGCCGGGGCACAGTGCCTATGCCCAGAGCAGAGACCTCCCCTGCCCCTGTCACACAAAGCTGTCCACACGTGTGGACAAAGCACATCTGGCTGGCCTGTGATTCCTCACCTGCTAAGGGAGGGTTGGGGGAAAGTTGGGTGCCCTGCCCCCACCTCCATCAAAGCAAGCCACTTTGACAAGGAGTATAGACTGAGGTTCCAAATCACATCTCGATTTTTTAAGTTGTCAATGCCTTTAAGCCTGTACATACCAGATGATTCATCAAGAAACCAAAATTTAATGATAAATAGTCCTATGGCTCAAACACAAACCTTTCGTGAGTCCTAGGCAAGAGCTGTAAACTGATTTCCTAGAGGTAAATTATCCAAAGCTGTACCTTGCAGAAACCAGCCAAGGGCCAACAATAACAAGAAGCATCCTGCTTACCAAAGGGCTTCGCATTGTGCCCTGTAGATCCTGTGCAGCAGGATTGCCTCAACCATCTCCACAGAAATGTGTGGGAATGAATTCTCATTTAATTCAGTAAAAAAAGGAAAAATCCATGCCTACAAGTGTTTGTAATTAGCAAAACACAGGTTCTCAAAACCTCAGTCTATTTACTCCTACTGGAAACTGTTGAATTGTACCAGGACCAGAAGACAGAGAGAGCCTGGCAATCATTATTCTAATCCTTTTCATTTGCTGCATAGGAAGCAAGTCCAGTGAGGTTAAGTGACTCGTCCAGGGCCACACAGCTCGTTCCCATAGCTGGGAGAAGACGCCCCGCGGCAGCGAGAACTACCTCCAGGCTTTAAGCAAAGGGCAGCAAAGCAGCCACATAGAAGGAGGTGCACCCATGGCCGACGACAGAGGTGAACCCACCAACGCTCCAGCAACGAGCGGCTCTGGGCTGGGCAGCTGTCCTTTGCTACATTTGCACAAGTTGCCTGCATTGCTTTGTATAATTTTGCACACGTTACTTTTAGAATTAGATAAAAGAGCTCAATGTTCATGTTAAAGCCATGACAATCAACTGGAAGGCCAGGCCTGATGAAGGCTGCCGTCTATGTCCATGCCAGATGGCTTAAGGGAGTACAGCCATATGGGGAGGACATGCAGATGCCGAGAGACCTAAACGTCAGAAAAAAGTAGAAGGATGCCCAATAAGCCAATAAGCAGTTCTCCTTCTAGGATCATGAGACATTTTCATTTCTTCCACTTGCTTAATTACTTCTACATTTTACAAAGTCCGTATCTTAGAGATGAAGGAAAAATCATCTCAATCTCAGGTCCACTCTGGAGGCACACACGTGTGTGCACCATGGGATGTGCTGGGTGTGTGCGGGTCCTTCTGGACCAGAGATCGGAAGCTGACTGTCTACAAAGGCCTCAGAGAGCACTGCACAAACTATAGTTCCCGGTTATTTCAGGAAGGGAGACTGGAAGAACCAAGGTTAGAAACGGTTTCTCTAAGCCTTCTTTGAACTATAATCTACAGAGAAACAATTTATTTGGGAAGTAAACTATCCAGAACTTTAATTGTTCTAAAAAGGTTTAAAATTTATGTAACTGGAACATTTTTCTTTTATAACATCGCAGTGTATTTTCTAAATGGTCATTCACCTACCAAAATATGAAGTTATTTTTTAAAATTTTATGGACAGTGATAGTGTTTCTGCTTTTTTTTTTTTTTTTTTTAGCTCAGTGGCATCTAAGATGTGGTGCTAATGAGGCCAAGGGTGCAAGTTCTCCCCTAAACACAGTGGCCAGCTTCCACAGAAAAGACTGTGGTCACACAGCTCCACCCACGGGTCCTAACTTTGCTCGGTGACTTGACAGGCTCTTGATCTCACCAGCCAATAGGTGACGGTGGTTCTTATAAACAAATTGAGGCAAAATAAGAGAAAAAGCACAGCATCCCGAAAAGAGTGCCTCCATTTCTTTGTGACCGGTCATTTAACTCTAAAATCATTTATACTGCTCTCCCTCCCAGACCATAACTAAGTTCTCAATGAAGTTTTTTCAATTAACATATCAGATAGATCATAAAAGACAGACATCATTGTACTTTCTTATGAGATTTCTGAAAATTCTCTTCTCTGTAGGGGAAAAAAAAAGTCAGCATTTCAATTCTACTATTCCAAAAATAATAACCAGACAACTAAAACACTCAAGTGATTTTGTTGTGTGCAGTTCTCACTTCAAACTTTAAAAAAGAAAAGGAAAAGAAATTTATGAAGAAATCTTCTAAAATAAATGTGTAAAGAAAGCTTTTTCATAGATGAAATTCCTAAAACTTAGGGTTTCTTTTATAACCTTCTCAAAACAAAGTTTCAGAGTAGATATGTGCTTTTAGCATCATTAAGAAAAATTACCCACCTTAACAGAAGTACAGAAAAAAAAGTTCTCACAGTCAATGAAAAAATAACTTCATAAACATTTCTGGGAGATCTGCCAGTGTCTTATCAAAATTTTGAACATACACAGCAATTCTACTTCTAGGAACTTACCCTACAGAAATATTTGCCAAGAGATCCAAGCAAGGCTCTTTACTGCAGGGTATACATAAAAGGAAAGCCATGCAAACAAAGTAAATGCCATCTACAGGGAAGAGGTCCAGTGAGTCAGGGTATCCGAGGCAGACTGGTACACACCAACAAGGCAAGCAACTGCAGTAACGAACTTTAAAAAGAGGAGGTTGTGAGGAGGAAAGTGGTGGAACCCCACGTGTCACAGGACCGCCGCGGGTGGGGGAGGAAGGGGAGAGCAGAGGCTGTGGGTGCCGGGGGGCTGCCCTTGGGATGGACGGAGGCAGGGCTAAGGTTTCCACTCTCCACGATTAGCACACGCATCACCTTTTCTCTCGCTTTACTTTTTAAAGGAAATAGAATTTCTGCAAGTGCTCCTGGATTTCTGAAGAAGAGAGACTAAGAATCCACGTACTGTCCCACAGCGCCATACCTGGGTGACCAGGACTCAGGTCTTCCACGGCAATCTGCACCACATCCGCCAGGTCCTGTTCTGACATCATCCAGAGGGAGAGGCGAGTGGCCGGGGAGTGGGCAGGAACCAAACTCACGCAGGACTGGGTTTCTGCCACCTACAAAACCGAGACAGACAGGGACAGGGAGATCACAATCGTGACCTGTGACATGAGGCTAACTACTAACCGGGTGTCCCAGGGCACGGCAGCAGCTGCGCACTGTTTAATGCAGGGCTCTCCTCGCTTCAGACCACCGAATGGTAGTGTTCTCTGAGAAGTGAGAAGCAGTTCGCCAACACCGCTCATGGCCTCCGTCCTTAACCAGCAGACCAGCCCCTACCTGACAGCCTCCCGCTTCCTTGGTCCACCTCCAAAGTCATGATGGCCTATGACAGCCTGACCGTGCCATCCCCAAACCAGGAGCTCAGCGGTGCCCCCCCTCCTCCCCACCACGGAACCATCCTGCCCTCCTGCTAAGTGCACCACACTCTGGAGAATTATTGGAGATAATCCTGCCCCACCTCCTGGATTTTCCCTGAATGGGCCCTTCTGCCCTGAGCCTGTTTCCACATTCCCTTTATGCCACACAAACCGCCTGCCCACTGAGCGCCTCTGTTTTGCGGTCCTCCGGCTTCCAGAGCAGACCCAAAGCACAGCACCACCCCACTACCATGGCCCCTAGAGCGCTGTCCTGTCCCCCATGTGCCCTCTGGGGCAGGGGTTTGAGTTGTCATCCCTGAACCAAAAACCATCTCTGACAGTCAGTTCCTTTCTTCTTGCTCCTGAAACACTCTGATTAGGCCAAGAAGGACCTTCTCCTCCAAAACAAAAATGAGGTCATGTGATGCCAGATACGGTCTATCAACACCGGATCTAACCACACTACTTAAAAATGGGCTGTCCTGGAGAACGCTGGAATCAGTGTCATCATCACGTTTTAACATATCACACTTTGATGTTTCAGTTATTGGCAAATAAATGTTTTTAAAATAAATTATTTCTTGCTCTTCCCCCAACTAGACTACATGCTCTCTGAGGGCAGGAAGCAAGCCCTCAACTCTCTGGTACGGTTCCTGCCACCAGAAAGTCTCACAGTCCCGAGTCACCGCTCCCGTGTGGCAGGAGGAGTCCAATCAAAATTGTCAGATCACCTGGTTTCAACTAGGGGTCTAATGACATCTCCTTTTAATGAGTAAGTTCCAATAGGCATAAGGTTAAATGTGCAGATGTCACACATGTCCTTCTAGCCTATAAATAACGTGGTTCCTCTTCTTTTTCATCCAGAGTTAAATTCTACAGAACTTCTTAGAGACAAATTTGTAAAAGGAGGAACCAAGCTCCTGTCTTAAATCTTCCTTCAGAGAGTATGGGCAACATTTTTACATAAATGCATGATCAAATAAATATAAGATCACAAAGGCATTTTTATTCCTGTTGACATACCTGACACAACACCGAATGAGGTGCCCAAGCACCAACTGTCCCTAACAAAGGGGACACTGATGACACGCTATGGGCGGGGAGGAGGCCTCGCAGGCACCACAACAGAACCCGCTAGGAGTCCCACTGGGGAAAGATGGTGATGACAAAGGTTTTTGATCTCTGCCTATCGCCCCATAAAAACACGTGACCAGCTAGGGTAGCACGACCAACATCCAAGTCAACGTCCGTAACAAGACTTGAGTGATGAGGTGTTCCTGATGAACCCCAAAATACCAGCACGTGGGGACAAAGCACTGACAGCGACAAGGTCACCATGGTGGAAGCAGGTCCGCAGCAGGAAGCGGAGAGAAGCAGCACTGCAACCAGGACCGAGCACCGTCCAATGGCAGAGAACCGAGCTGGGCTTGCAGGAGCGTCCAGAAGACCTGGAACAGTCCCGCCCCCAGGAACTCTCAGAGCTAACTATCCAAAGCTCCCTTCTAGGCCAAATACACTAAAAAGAAATGACTGGGAATACAATACCCAATGTAGAGGACAGGAAGATAGAGACAGAGGAAAATGAAAGTCTGATTAAAGGTGGGAGACAAAGGGGCGTTTGGCTAGCTCAGTAGGCAGAACATGAGACTCCTGATCTCGGTGTTGTGAGTTCAAGCCCCACGTGGGGCACAGAGTGTACTTTAAAAAAAAAAAAAAAAGTGGGGGAGAAAAACAGACCCAGGAGAGCTCAGAAAATAAACTGCTGCATCTTTTAAAACTTTCTAAAATCAATAGAATACAGAGCCCTAGAACACTGAAATTAGAAAAAACTATTCTAAATCATGCCTCCCTTCTAAATATTCAGGAAAATTAATTTCACATGAAAGTGAACAAGAGAAAATAGTGAAGTCCAATCTTGTGCAAAGATAATATATTTTAAAAGAGAATAAGGAGGAAAATAATGCCACCACAGACCTTGACAGTGTGCTTGAAGACACGCCCTTAAAGGAGATGAAAACCCGACCCTGAAGTCCACGAAGGACGTGGTTTAGGGGGAACCCTAAGCCAGCATCACAAAGTGCAGGCGTGCAGTGACAGAACTCAGGAGAGATCAGAGATGAACGAAACTAGGAACCCAGGAGCAGGAAACACAGGAAACTGCACCTAAGAAACGAAATGAGAAAAGGAGGAAAATTTTAAGAATGAGAAAGAGATGAAGGAAAAGAGTTCAAGAAAGAGGAGCACAGATGGGCAGAGGCGGCCCCGCGGAAGTGGAGAGGGAGGCTCCGAAGAGGAAAACCACGGCAAAGCCCGAGGAAATGGAGCGCCCAGAAGTGTGAGCCAAGACAACTCTCCAGAAAGGAGAAAGTCTGAAACTACTTACGAAAAAGACACCACACCACAAACCTAGAGAGGGGGGCGGAAAACGGACACCTAATCCCAAGACACATTCTAATAAAAACACTATTGAAAGAAAAAAGAGAAATTCCTTTACACATCCAGGCAAAAAGACCAGGTGACTCAAAATGGGGAAGAAATAGATTATCAAACTACAACAGAAACAAACAGATTAACATATCTAAGACACTCAAAGAAACGTGAGCCAAGAATTTTATATCCAGACAAAATGACTTTCAAGTGTAAAGGCAGCAAACATTTATCAACATCTAGTACACAGGAGAATACTCCCATAAGCCCTTCCTGAAAAAACTGCTAAAAAACAAACTTTAGAAAAACAAAATCACTTGAAGAGACAATGTAAGAACTGGCTAGTGGTGAGCATTCTAGATTTACAAGCAGAACTAAGTGAAGAATATAAAGGAAAAGAACCGCACACAATGGCTATACGTTCTTCGATAGACATAGAATTTACCTTAAAATGGGGAGAAAAATTGGAAGAATGTATACAAAACAAATGTCAACAATCGTCTGTGATCAGGTTGACTGGTAGCTTGGAATTCCCTTCTGAGCATGTTCTGTGTGCAGATGAGGACTTCCGGGACGTTCCCATTCTATCATTCGTGTCCTTGAAGACCAGGACGAGAGGGCCCAGAGGTCAGAGAAACACCCTGGGGCTGTGGATGGGCTTGCAAGGGTGAACCCGAGGGTGCCATGTGTCTGTATACACACTCTGTCTCCACCAGAAAGGCGAAGAAACAGTGGTCAATCCATTAGCGATGTGCGTCCCTAGAGCCCACACTGTGATGCTGAAATAACACTTTCCACGAAAAGAAACCAGGGCTTCCCGGAGACACTGCCGCCTCCAGAACTGAGACAAGGAGTATGCTGAAGGATCCGAGAGCAGCTTGCCATTCCAGAGGGAAGGAAACCGTGACAGACATCAGGGTTGAATCAAATGGACTCACGGCCAACAGGAAGAAGCTCCTCCTGGCCAAAGACAGAAAAAAACTGACCATCAACAAGGATAACTATGTCAATGGACTTAAAATATTTTTAAGTTCAAGACATCATGATACCAACAACAAAAAAGGTCACCTTTGGAGGCACTAAGTCTTTAATTTTTAAAAAAAATGGTAATAAAAAGAAAGACTAGAACACTTATCCTGCCTTTCTACATAAAATGTACCAGTGAAAAAACAGTCCCATGATAAGAAGTATCTCTGTATGGAAGTACTACCTCAAAGAAATGAAGAAGGAATGACTTTGCAATCCTGATGAATTAAGAATGTAGTGCTTGAGCTGCTAACATCACAAAGAAACCAAACACGATTCTCCTTGTTTTTAAGATTTTATTTATTTATTTGACAGAGAGAGACACAGCGAGAGAGGGAACACAAGCAGGGGGAGTGGGAGAGGGAGAAGCAGGCTTCCCGCCGAGCAGGGAGCCCGACGTGGGGCTCGATCCCAGGACCCTGGGATCAAGACCTGAGCCAAAGGCAGACGCTTAATGACTGAGCCACCCAGGCGCCCCTTGATTCCCCTTGTTTAAAGAGGATCACACCACCACCCAGGAGGTAGGCTTGCTGCCACCAAACAGTGCCAAACACACAAAGCTATCTCTGGAATTCTACTGCTACCAATGCCCAGGACACAGAGACATCGGGGAACACGCCGCAGAGTGCCACAGAGACGCACGCAGCAAAGCGGAATGCAGATGGAACTCTGGGGGAGGACCAAGAGGGTCCTTATAAAGTAAAGGGGAGAACAACAAAGTGGACAGAACTACAATTTTCTAAATTTGCAGTATATTTAATAAGGATTTTTAGAGGCAAAACTCAAACTTGAAAACAGTATTTGCTACATACACCAGAGAGCCAATTTCCTTCTTTCACAGCGAAAGACGTAAGACCAATAAACCTGATAAAAAATGAGCATAAAAAATGAGGGTGAACTCACAGAAAAAAGAAGTCACAAGGCTTTTAAACATGAGAAGAATTTAACCCTTCGTGTAATTTTTAAACTGCAAATTTAAAATGAGACACCATCTTACACCCACGAGACTGGCAGCCATCAGTCACTCTGCGTGCTGTAAGCGTCTGGAGCGGGCTCTCCGGGGTGTCTGGTGGGAGCAGAGACCAGTATGACTCCTTTGAGAACAGTAGGCAAGAGCGATCAGAACGCTGCTGGCCACAGCCCTGACCCTGCGCACACCCTCTGGGAATCTGTCC